GAATCGGTGTCTTACACCGCTCTCGCAATTGTTTTACGCTCAGTGTCCGTAAGATAATTTCTTCTCAAGGTATTCTTCCGATTATGGACTATTGTGATGTTGTCTACCAAAATGCACATGAATCAGATCTTGCTCAACATAGCCAACAATAGACTGTGCAGATGTGTTCTTGGTGGTCCTTTTCGTACACATCACTGCACAATGTATAACCAACTGAAATGGCCTTCATTAAATGTACGAAGACACACGCCTTGGCTTCAGCTGATATTTAAATGCATTTATCTTAACTATCCCCCTTATTTAAAGCAGTATTTTGTACCCTACTCGCCAAATCATCAAGTTAGACACTCTGTCCAGATTTATTTCTCTGTCCCCTCTGCAAAAAAATCTATTGTCAGAAGAGCGTTCATGTTCAAAGCCCCAACAGACTGGAATACTTGACCTGCTGCTATTAGATCTCTGGCATCATTGGGTATGTTTAAACATTATCATCTCACTTTCAGCTGCTCTACACTGGTTATTGATGAAACTGATATTGATGAAACTGATCTGCTCGACTGTCTCTCACATTGTAATGATTGTAATGATTGTATGTATTACTTGAATTTTACTTAACAGACTGTACGTGGTTTGTCTGTCAGTTGTTGCTATTGTCGGGACCCCCTTGAAAACGAGATGGTGCATCTCAAGGGGTTTATCCCAATGAATACAATTTCTATATATATATACACTGCAGCAGGAAGCCTGCCGCAACCCTAAATGCGGTACCCCTGTGTATACGGTAAATCCACCTCCCACTTTTTGACAAAGCGCAGAAGCTTAAAGGACCTCAGCACCGATAAAGTGGTGAAATGGTTGAAAGAGGAAAGGAGATGCTGGAAATGTGGAAGGACCCTTAGAGCAGCAGAATGCACTCTAAGAAAACCCTGTCCAAAATGTAATGACCTGCACCTAGGCAAGGCAAGTTTATTTATATAGCACCTTTCAACACAAGGCAATTTGCTTTACAAAAATGAAAGACATTAAGAAAATGGCATTTAAAAACAGTCATTAAAAAGCAAAGATAATAAAATAAACATGACAGAACCCTTTTGTGGTCTGATTCCACTGCGGTACTGACATGGCTGCACTCCGATTCCTGCAGGTATAAGGTGTTTGCAGCCAACAGGATTGTGGAGATACTAGACCTAACCTCAGCAAGTGAATGTGGATTCAAAGTCAAACCCAGCAGACAATATCACCAGAGGTAAGCCACTCAAAGATCTTACCACAATTCATCGATGGCATAAAGGCCCCGCATTTCTTTATCTGCCCCCTAGCCAAGTCTGTCCTGCTCCTACCAAAGAGATAACCACAGAGTGGAGAAAACCCCTTTTTCGTGGCCTCATACAAACTAATGAGCCCTCTGACCTACCTGACCCACAGCAGTATGACACCTGGACCAACCTCATAGATGCTGCATACCAAGCAATGCAAACCTCAACCAGTCGTCCTAACCCAGAGCATATCAGCCCATCAAGAACCAAAGACAAAACTGCATTCATCTCCTGCACTCAATCCCAGAGTTTCCCAGAGGAGTATCAGGCACTAAAACTGGGTAAACAAATTACCCCGAATAGTCGTTTGGCACCGCTCTCCCCTGAGTTTGATAGAGCCCTTGAAATCATACGAGTAGGTGGCAGACTTAGGGAGAGTAAAGACCTTGAGCCTGATACCATCCATCCCATAGTGCTTGACCCTAAGCATCCACTAACACAGCTTCTGATTAACCTGTTAAGCCCTGAGCCTGTTTTTCAGGTCTCAGGCTCGAAAATGACATTCCCAGAACAAATGACCATATCTTCACTTTCTAAAAAGGGGTGAATTAATAATCTTTTTTCTCAAAGCAATGATAAACCTGTGAGTTGGATGTAGAAAAGTCAGAATCAATATAGAATTTTTTGATACTAAAGTAAATTCAGATTGAACATAGTAAAAAAATGTAAATGATAGTGTCCGTCCAAAAAATAAACATAACTTATAGTGAAAACCACCTTGAATGATGGGATAGTAGACTAAAAGCTTTAGGAATCCAAACATATAATAAGTACCCTGTATCAAGATTGATGCAAAACAAGTGATATTTGACCTTTTGAGAGAGATCATGCTCTGATTCGCTAGCTGAACAGCCAATCAGAGTGATTTATTTTGCCGACTGCCTTTGGCCGACGATGAGCGTCGACACGCCCTACTCAGATTGGTGTGTCCCGCACCGTCGTTTCTTTTCAGCCGTGCCGACGCCTTTTCGGCCAAAGGCAGTCGGCAAAATAAATCACTCTGATTGGCTGTTCAGCTAGCGAATCAGTTTTCTTTAAAAAATAAACAGGCGTTTTATTTCTTAGCCTTCCACACTATTTTATAGAAGCATAAACTTCATGCCTGGTGCTGCGTTCACCAGCAAGGAACAAACACACATGCCCCCCCTCCCCTCTCTTCCCAGTCCAACCTGGCCAATCAGGTCATGGTTCTGAAAGGGGAGTGAAGGGTTAAATACAGAATTAAAACACTGTTGTCTACATTTAATAAAATCCTAAAGGCTTAATTAAATTCATAATTGTATCAACATAAATATTGTCCCTTCAACAACAACAAGGTCTGCTTAATACGGAGAGTTTTTAACCTAATTGACACTCGTAAAATCACACATTTCCTGACCAATCATGTGCAAGACCCCGCCTACTCATACGGCACATATAAGGAGTACTTTGGAGCTCCCCCTTTGAGCCCTGGCACAAGATGGCTTCCAGGTCTGAACAAAGGAACTGGAGATTACTTTGTGATTGTGTGTTTTAAAGACTGTTAAATTAAAGTAGAGACGCTACATACTGATATACACCTGAACATCAGCAGGAGAGGACTCTTTAAAGTAGAGACACTACATACTGATATACACCTGAACATCAGCAGGAGAGGACTCTTTAAAGTAGAGACACTACATACTGATATACACCTGAACATCAGCAGGAGAGGACTCTTTAAAGTAGAGACACTACATACTGATATACACCTGAACATCAGCAGGAGAGGACTCTTTAAAGTAGAGACACTACATACTGATATACACCTGAACATCAGCAGGAGAGGACTCTTTAAAGTAGAGACACTACATACTGATATACACCTGAACATCAGCAGGAGAGGACTCTTTAAAGTAGACACACTACATACTGATATACACCTGAACATCAGCAGGAGAGGACTCTTTAAAGTAGAGACACTACATACTGATATACACCTGAACATCAGCAGGAGAGGACTCTTTAAAGTAGAGACACTACATACTGATATACACCTGAACATCAGCAGGAGAGGACTCTTTAAAGTAGAGACACTACATACTGATATACACCTGAACATCAGCAGGAGAGGACTCTTTAAAGTAGAGACACTACATACTGATATACACCTGAACATCAGCAGGAGAGGACTCTTTAAAGTAGAGACACTACATACTGATATACACCTGAACATCAGCAGGAGAGGACTCTTTAAAGTAGAGACACTACATACTGATATACACCTGAACATCAGCAGGAGAGGACTCTTTAAAGTAGAGAAACTACATACTGATATACACCTGAACATCAGCAGGAGAGGACTCTTTAAAGTAGAGACACTACATACTGATATACACCTGAACATCAGCAGGAGAGGACTCTTTAAAGTAGAGACACTACATACTGATATACACCTGAACATCAGCAGGAGAGGACTCTTTAAAGTAGAGACACTACATACTGATATACACCTGAACATCAGCAGGAGAGGACTCTTTAAAGTAGAGACACTACATACTGATATACACCTGAACATCAGCAGGAGAGGACTCTTTAAAGTAGAGACACTACATACTGATATACACCTGAACATCAGCAGGAGAGGACTCTTTAAAGTAGAGACACTACATACTGATATACACCTGAACATCAGCAGGAGAGGACTCTTTAAAGTAGAGACACTACATACTGATATACACCTGAACATCAGCAGGAGAGGACTCTTTAAAGTAGAGACACTACATACTGATATACACCTGAACATCAGCAGGAGATGACTCTTTAAAGTAGAGACACTACATACTGATATACACCTGGACATCAGCAGGAGAGGACTCTTTAAAGTAGAGACACTACATACTGATATACACCTGGACATCAGCAGGAGAGGACTCTTTAAAGTAGAGACACTATATACTGATATACACATGAACATCAGCAGGAGAGGACTCTTTAAAGTAGAGACACTATATACTGATATACACCTGAACATCAGCAGGAGAGGACTCTTTAAAGTAGAGACACTACATACTCTAACTAATTACATTAAATAAACTCACTAATTAATGAAACCAGTTCAATACGCATTATTCTTATCATTCTTTATGAGCGCAGTAACGGTAAGGTATCTAATTACTTATTTATTTAGTATTCCATAACTTCATAACAGAGATGGTCAAACTAAAGTGGTAGAGATGGCAGAAATCCTACAATGAAGCGGGGCAGTGAACTGTTCACCCGTGAGAGGGCGATCAAGAGAAGAGAGCGAGCGGCCCCGTTGAGGGAGTAACAAGAAGGCTATATTTAGGTGTTTTTTAGTAAATAACCGACGGTATCAAGAGGAAGTAAAGTCCCCTGGTTTGTCCCTTATACCCTAACTGCCATGAGACAACTCAAAATCAAGTTTCCAAAACCCGACACGGAGGTGGTCTTAACGCACCGGCAGATGACAGCGCTGACAAAGTGTGTTTCGCGCAGCGAGACGCTACAATACTAATGGTGGGCTTATCATGTTGATTCGGCCACAACAGAGAAAAGAACTCTCGCTCTCTCCAGAGGGGCAGGTCAGCCAAAAAGGCCAAACGGGCCGTTGCCCGGGCAACACTCCCGTACGTGTGCACGTCCCTGCCCCCAGCGTAAGGGATAACAGTGTTAGGAATATATTGTGATGAAGTGAACACTGACCTGAGGTCTGGGGGTCTCTTTGTTCTCCTCCATGCTGCTCTCAGTGCTCCTTCTCCTGCTGGGTCTCTGAAATAAGTATTAACACTACAGTCAACACAAAACCAATCTACAGCTAAGAAGTAGCTTAGCAGCAGAGGTGGGGAGTACATATACTCAAGTACTGTACTTAAGTACAACCATAGAGGTACTTGTACTTTACTTGAGTATTTACATTGTATGCTACTTCTACTCCTCTACAGTTCAGAGGTACATGGTGTACTTCTACTCCACTACAGTTCAGAGGTAAATGGTGTACTTCTCCTCCACTACATGTATTTAATCCCTTTAGTTACTTCACAGATGTGGATGAATGATGTGAAATATAATCAAGTGTTAAATCAGACTTTAGTTCCACCTGGAGTAAATCCACAAGCTACAAATGAAAGCTGTTTTTTATCCGATGGGAACATGTGGTTTTGTGACAGTTGCTCTAATAATGAACACATACAAAATATAATAAGTAAGGCATTACAAAAATCAGTGTTTTTATACTTGAGATATGAGTGTCATCTCAGTGTCACTGTTACTTTCTTTTCTGTATCCTGATTTAGTCATCTCGTTACTCCCCGAGCACATTAACACCCCTTTATTTATGTTTAGCGATTATCCACATAGTAGTGATGTTACGCATTGCGCCGAGGCTTCGGAGCGCGTGTCGAGTAATCCCCGAAGCTTTTTGTGAAGCTTGTATCGAGGCTTGTATCGTTTTGGGCCAGTGACGTCACCGATGACAAACGAAGCCTCGCTGCCCCTCGATACCACGTGACTGCTTCAGGAAGCGCTTCAGATCGGTTGAACCACAACACTCATATATATATATATATATATATATATATATATATATATATATATATATATATATATATATATATATATATATAGAACCATATTACCCCTCCTGTACCCGGGCCCGGTGACACGATGGAATTAAGAGAGCTCAGACCCTCACTCATATAGAAGTCGGCACATGTCATAAGTATAAATAAATACAAGCATCAATAAATGTAGGAATAAAAACATGAATAAATAAATACAGGAATAAATACAATGAAGTGTTTTCAGGTAGATTCAGTGGGCTGTTGCTCAACACGTCTATTTGTTTGGTTATAAAAGCTACAGCTAAATTAGATAATGTAATGGAATAAATACAATATTGTTAACATGAAAATATGATTTAATGTTCGTTGTTTAGAGTTATTCTAAGGCTGAGATAGAGCACACTGTTGAGATGTCCGATCTGCCTGTTTTACACACTTTGACCAGCAGGGGGTTTGTGTTCAAATGAAGCCCATGATGAAGCGAACCAATTGGCTGGAAAGCTTCAACGCTTCATAAGGCTTCATCTCGCCATCACTATTCGACAGTCACACAGATTAAAATACTCAACAGTGGAATTAATACCGAACTTCTGTTCTTATAAAATAGTTGTTTCTGACCTGAGATCTGCAGCTCCTCCGCTGATCCTCCATCTTGTTTCTTCTTCTTCTTCTTCTATGGGTTTATTGGCGGTTGGCAACCAAACAAATGGGTGCATTACCGCCACCTACTGGACTGGAGTGTGGAGCAGTAGATTGGCAGGGGGGGGGGAGAGAGAGAGAGAGAGAGAGAGAGAGAGAGAGAGAGAGAGAGAGAGAGAGAGAAGAGAGAGAGAGAGAGAGAAGAGAGAGAGAGAGAGAGAGAGAGAGAGAGAGAGAGAGAGAGAGAGAGAGAGAGAGATAGAGAGAGAGAGAGAGATAGAGAGAGAGAGTGAGTGAGTGAGTGAGTGAGTGAGTGAGTGAGTGAGTGAGTGAGAGAGACCCTCCCCCACAGTACCGGGAATGTGGGGGAGGGTCTCTCTCTCTGCATGCAGGCGGGGGGGCACTGGGGACAAGGTGCATTCAGACTGGGAGCTACTTTGGGAGACCAGGGACAGTTGGAACACGGGTTGGTTGTAACACCTTCAATATCTCCAATCACAAACAAGCTAGAGTGATGACACTCACTCTGCACATGCGCAGTTAGATGGTGAGATCGATGAGAAAAAACGGAGCCACGTTTGAATTTCTCGCGTAAGATATCGGCAAAAGTGTTTCTGAGGTAAAATATTAACTAAAATGATATGATGTATTTTTTGGATACTGTCTTGAGTTCAAATGTCTAGGAATCCAAACTAGTATTATTAGAATCACTGTTTTGTAAGCTACACATATAACTAGCTAAATATGGGTCAAGCTAGCAATCAGCAGGTTCACAGGGGGTGAAAGCAAGACTGGTGGTCCTGGGACGGTTGTAACGGGACGGTTGTAACGGGACGGTTGTAACGGGACGGTTGTAACATGGCACATTTACAATGATGGCTCATTTGCTTGAATTATCAATTGTTCATTCAAGCATACAGTTGTATTGTTGATTGGTGTGCATTGTCCCTGTAAAAATAAACAGAATAAAATACTGTACAGTAGGCCTAAAGTGTGTGTGTTTACAGTATGTCAAATGTCAGAAAGAGGAAGACAGACAGGGGAGTGCCACTTGCTCTGCTGCAGAGGGCCTCAAATTAAGTTCAGGAGGGCAAATCATTCAGGGAAGTGGCAAAGTCCCTGGATATATGCCATGTCACCCTGTACCGGTTCCATAAGAAGAGGCTGAGGTTGGAGAGTCAGACAAACCCAACAAGAAGCAGAAGATACAGGACTCATCTGATGAAGATGAGGCCCAATACTGCATTGTGTGCCTGGAGAGCTACTCCAGGTCCAAGGAGATCTGGCTGCAGTGTTGCTCCTGTAAAGCCTGGGCACACAAGGACTGCACAGATGGAAGTGCCTTTTACACCTGCCACAACTGTGAATCTGATTAATTCTGGTGTTCTGTTTTAAGTTCTGTTCAAGTTCTGTTAATTGTTCATTGTTTGTTGGAGGATGTGTGAAACCCCATTAAAATCTTGTTGCCTTAGAATTTGACTGCTTTCCCTATTTTTTGTCATGTAGTGTGAAAAAAGGTAACCGTTATTAACATGTCACAACCGTGCCTGGCATGTGCTACAACTGTCCCTGTACACAAGGACAGTTGTAACAGTTGAGTTTTTTTTTTGAAATACATTTTCCAACCTGTACTTATTTCATAAAAACATCTTAAATACATTGTTTCAGTAGCTGACATATTGATAATGTATAATATAGCAAAATGGCTATCCTATTGTAAATGGTTTTTTACTTATTGGGGAAAAACCCAAAAAGTGTTGCAACTATCCCTGGTCTCCCCTACAGATACTCGTGTTTAAAGTACTCTGGTGAAAGTAGAAGTACTGACTAAACTTCTTTACTCAAGTAGAAGTACTGACTAAACTTCTTCACTCAAGTAGAAGTACACATCCTGTACTCAAGTAGAAGTACAGATACTCGTGTTTAAAAATACTCTGGTGAAAGTAGAAGTACTGACTAAACTTCTTTACTCAAGTCAAAGTAAAGAGGCTTTGAAATGTACTTCAGTAAAAAGTACCCATAACTAGCAGCTGTTTTAAAGAGTACCTGACCTCCCTTTATATTAATAGAACAATAATGTCATTGTTAGCTAATGAATGTTTCCATGCTGAACAACGGCAACATGACAACGTTTTCATTGGTCCCTCTTCTTTAGAGAAGACCAGGAAGTGATGGATACACGGATCGTGTTCAAATCAATAGGCACGCAATGACTCTAAATAATAATGATCACGCCACCAAGTTAGGTTTTTGTGTGCACTGAGGAGTCTCAAACAGGCCTTTTTTAATCATTTTAGTCAACTTATAAATCTCAAAGATTGCTTAGAAATTGGCGCAGTGTACACAGCAGAAATGCAGCCTGCCAGTAATAACAGGATTACAGTGGGTTGAAGAGGTCAGACCAGATAGGGTGGTGATATGCACACATTCAGTGATTCATGGATATATTCCTCCTGAAACCAAAAGAGGGACCAGCAGCTGATTTAATGAACGTTAAACAGTTACTCAAACCTGACTTCAAATAGATGCAAAGGTGTGATAATACAAATAAAGTAAAATAAAAATGATCACTCTCATTTAATAAATAAAGAAGACAAAAGAGAAACTTACTAAGTAATATTAAAACCTTAAAAGTAAATAAAACAATAATCATAAAACAAATTAATAATAAAGATTAAAAGACTAATTTAAAAGTGGATGTCGCTAATTAAAGGTGGGGTAGGTAAGTTTGAGAAACCAGCTGGAGATACACTTGTTGTTATATTCCATGAAATGCTCTTAACATCCAGATAGCAATGAATATCTGAAGTGCTTTGACAACAAATACATAAATAAATATCATCTGTGGAAGCTGTGGTACTGTAAAAAGCACGACCAATCATCTGAGCCGGCCCGGCTAAAATGAACTGGATGGCCGACCTGCCTGTCAGCCTGTGCACAAACTTATCTCGTGCCCTCATTGGTCATGTGCGCGTTCGTGTGTGTTGGAGGAGGGGCTCTGTGAGGAAGTGGCAGATTTTCTCCGGTTGTGTATTTTCAAATTCTAGCGATCTCGAGCTGGTTTCTCAAACTTACCTACCCTACCTTTAAAAGAACAATTGAAAGGGATATCAAATAAATACATATAAATGAAGACCTAAAAAACCTATAAAACCTTGTAAAAATACAAATAATTAAATAAATATATATTGAGAATAATAACGATTGAAAGAACACTTAAAAGGGGGATGTAGTTATTAAAACCTTCACTTGTACTTCTTTCTATGTAATACAAGTGTGTGCTGTTCCCCCTCCTTTAAATGCAAACCTAAAATAAATGAAACAATACAATTAAAATAATAAAATAAATAAATAATGAGAATAATAAAGATTAAAAGAACAAATGAAGACCTAAAAAACCTATAAAATACATAAAACAATAATAATCAAAATAAATGTATATTGAGAATAATAAAGGACACTTAAAAGGGGGATTTAGTTATTAAAACCTGTACTTCTTTCTATGCAATGAGCGCGCGTGCTGTTCTCCTCCCGACCTCCAGGTGGCGGCAGTCTTTGATTGTAATCCGTCCAGAAATAGAGCGGACCGGAAGTGACGCGGCTTCCATTGAGCTCTCGGCCGGCGGCGGGATTCCTCCTTGTTGTTGTTTTTTAACGGGAACATTATTCAGTGTTTTAGTCTCTAAAGCTCCAGATAAACCTCCAGACTTTCAGGTAAACTCTTTAATAAGGTTTATGCTACTCGATTATCAGAGTGAACTCGAGCAGAAGTTGATATAAAAGCCCGATTATAAGCATGTGTGGTTAGCTCCGATGCTAGCAAGCTAATTAGCTGCTAAACGCTATCGTTAGCTTTAGCTCGTTTTTAATATTTATTATTTGATTTTAACTAACATTAACTTTGGGTTTAAGTGAAAATACTAAAACATAAGGTAATAAAGGTGAAAATAAGCTAACGGGCTGTTTAAAAGTTAACATTTCCACCGGTTTAATGTGTAGCTACATGCTAACCAGCTCCGGTCTGTTTGGTTAGCTCTACTAGTTTGGGCTTCAAATGAATGAAGACTAATCATTAATTAGGTTAATGTGAAGTTCTGTTATAAAATGTTTAGAACATGTGAAAAAAATCCTAAACATATGCAAACAGTGGTGTGAAATTTCCATTAGAAAATATGAAAAATAAATATCTGTAAAATGAATTAAAACGCAAACATATGTTGAATATAGAAACCGATGTATTGCTGTAAGTTAGACCAGCCGACAGTTGATAAAGGAAACAGGATATTATACCATGAGAACACATTTTTAAGCGAATTACAATTCATATTCACGAATGTTTTAAAGTTTATAATTTAAAAAATCAACTAAAATATGAGACATTTTAAGATTGGAAACAAATATTTGGAAAAAAATCCTGAATTTTCCAAAAGAATATAGGAATAATTTAAAATAGGGAAAAGCTAATGTTCTGTAATACAATGTTTAGTAAATGTGAACAAAAACTAAAATATCTGAAGTGTTTAAAATGTATTAAAAAACAAACATTCTACTGATGTTCAACATTTCCTTTTTGGAAATAAACTGAGTTCGAGCAAAGAGATTAAATAATGAGTAAAAAGAGCACATGTGTTAAAAATGTGAAATAATATAAAAACACACAGCAGCATTAAAGATGAAAGTAGCTGCAGAATGACAGTAAATACTATAATTACTATGTATATATTTCACAGTTATGTTACATCTTTCTTGATACAGGTGTTGGGCGGTGCTCAGCGAATCAGCTGCCAGTATATTTATTGCACAACAGTGTTACATGATGCCGTGCTTATTTAAATAGCCAATTAAAGCCCAAACAGTAGACCTACATGTTACGTATAACTATAAGCACACGTACATAACTATAACAAATAACTATGTACTCCATGCTTAACAAGTAGCAGTATTTAAAAAAAGTAAATATATAAAACTTGAATTGAGACATTTTGTGGTTTTGTATTTTTTTTTTGTATAGATTTCC